GTAATAAACAAAAAGCTTATTTCTGTACTGACCCCTAAAATCCCTTTTATTTTAAGAAATTTTATTTTCATGACCTAAGCACCGAAAGGCAATGCTAAAGTAGTTTTTCATGTGAAATATTATGAGACTTGCTTGCTTCCCTTTGAAAATAATGGACATCGTATGATTTCAAATTTAACATAGAAATCTCCATAGGCAATTTTAAGGTACTTATAAAACCGGAAGTACACTGTATATCCATACCAAAATTGAAACATAGAGAGCATATTAAAACTTCAAACAGTTGCCAAAGGGAGAAAACTCTTGCACAATTATTTTTGAAAATACTTAAAAATACAAAATTTCAGGTCTCTAAAACTCCTTTAAGGGGTCAAAAAGTGACCCCACGGACCATATTTTTTAGACTGTCCTTTGTATGCTTAAGTCAAATCTGAAAACTATTTGAAAATTTATTGAAAAATAAAAAAGTTACAGGCAAAGGTCTGTTTTCAAGTTTGGCCCCTAAAAATCCCCTATTTTCAAAAATTTCAATTTAATAATTTGATGAAGTCACAACAGTATCAGAGTCATTCTGCATACAAAATATTACAAGAAAATGTTGAATACTTTAAGAGATAATGTTCCATGATTAATTTAGCGTGATTTCAAACTTAACATAGAAATCTCCATAGGCAATTTTAAGGCACTCATAAAACCGGAAGTACTTTTCATATGCATACCAAAATTGAAACATAGACAGCATATAAGGTTCCAAACAGGTGGGCAAAGGGAGATAACTCTTCACAAATATTTTCTAAAAGACTTAAAAATGCAATATTTCAGGTCTCTAAAACTCCTATAAGGGGTCAAAAAGTGACCCCACGGACCATATTTTTTAGACTGTCCTTTGTATGCTTAAGTCAAATCTGAAAACTATTTGAAAATTCATTGAGAAATAAAAAAGTTATAGGCAAAGGTCTGTTTGCAATGTTGGCCCCTAAAAATCCCCTATTTTCAAAAATTTCAATTTAATAATTTGATGATGTCACAACAGTATCAGAGTCATTCTGCATACAAAATATTACAAGAAAATATTGAATACTTTAAGAGATAATGTTCCACGATTAATTTCAATTTAAAATAAAACTTTCAAGACCCATAAAACCGGAAGTTCTGTTCTGATTGATATGAAACTTACAATATATGTTCTACTATTGAATTCTAACATATTTCTATGCTCAAAAAAATTTTTGTAGCGTAATTGTGACTTTCAAAAATTTCATCCCCCCTTCTTCAATGTTTGAAGTCTTATATCTCGAAAAGTATTTGTGTTCAAAAATTACGTACGCGCACTTTTTTATTGGATTATGTCTCTAGAATTCATATCTCAAATTTGGGAGTCTAGACACTAAAATTAAAAATGTTTTTGGCTTCTTTAGAATTTTCAGTTTTCCTTTAGTAGAAACCGGAAGTGACTATTCCGGAAGTTGTTCTTGTTTCACGCACGAGAGATTTTAATTTGCTATTTAGTGGTTTCACAGTAATATACCTATTCTTAAAGGTACTCCCTAAATGCTGAACGATAGAAGTGTTCAGTATAATAATAATAATAATAATAATAATAATAATACGAAAACAATAGTCTTTTCGACAAAAGTCTTTAATAATAATAAACAAGACGAAAACAATAGGTCTTTTCGACAAAAGTCGAAAATGCTTTGGATCATTTCATTGGTTGTAATTTTGTTTCGTCAACATTTCCTTGATGCTTGTCATGAGCCAATTGTATTTTGGTGCAATTTGTACCTTATTTTGTGTGCACAATTTGTGCTTTAAATGACTTGAGCCGATTTGGCATAATTTTGGTGCAATTTGTACCTTATTTTTTGTGCACAATTTGTGCCTTATGTGACTTTAGCCGATTTGGCATAATTTCGGTGCAGTTGGTACCTAATTTTGTGTGCACAATTTGTGCTTTTATTGTTACTTTGGGCTGCAAAATTGCCGCCCCAATGTTAGTTTGTGGCGGATGGGTCATGTGACTTGGTCCCTTGACCCATTTGGCATAATTTTGCAAAGAATGCTGTCTCCGGGGGGTACTGTTTTTTCCAGGCTCCTTGGATCAAGATGGTATTTCTCTTGCTTATGATTATCCATATTCAGTTACCTATGCTGCCATATAATCATCATCGGCGCATACATTGTATTATATCTAATATTTTATTAAATGGCCATGACAAGCACGCCAAAACAATTATTGACTTGTTTTATTGACTATTTTTAGACATCCTTAACCTTTTACAGGGTTTATCTGATCATGTTTGTTTCTGTTGTCGTCCAAGTCCAGGTCGCGAAATAATGGAGTTTATCAAATATGGATAAACCTGGTTATTTCGCGTAGCTTAGTTTTTTACATATGCTAAGATCGATAACTCCTAATCATTACGTTCATAATTCATCGGGTTCGGTGCTCAAAAATATTTGTTGAATGCGCATGTCTTCTAGAATATTCCTTTCTATTCCGTAATTTGAGTGAAGCAGACGCACAAAATTTTTAAACCCACCCTCCCTCCCCCTAAGTCGATTTATATTCCCCTTAAGCATATATTTCATGTTTTATTGCAATGTAAATTTTCTTTTGGTGTTTTTCTCGTTTTCGTTTAATTTCTCGTTTCAGCGTCATGGCATGGATCAAATGCTGAATAGGATCCACCTTATTGATGTGCTTGGCAGACCTTTCAAACTTCCAGTTGTGTGTGGTGTTTTTAACTTTGTTAAGCATAATTTTGCAAAGAATGCTGTCTCCGGGGGGTACTGTTTTTTCCAGGCTCCTTGGATCAAGATGGTATTTCTCTTGCTTATGATTATCCATATTCAGTTACCTATGCTGCCATATAATCATCATCGGCGCATACATTGTATTATATCTAATATTCTATTAAATGGCCATGACAAGCACGCCAAAACAATTATTGACTTGTTTTATTGACTATTTTTTAGACATCCTTAACCTTTTACAGGGTTTATCTGATCATGTTTGTTTCTGTTGTCGTCCAAGTCCAATGTCGCGAAATAACCAAGTTTTATAAAATACAATTTCATCAAAATCAGTTTTTATCAGAACGGCCGACATTGTTCTACTGTGATTTTCAAGCATTTGTTGGAAACAAAATGACGTCTAGATGTGATTACAGGGCATTAGCTCTTCATAAAAACAATGGCGACGTCTCAATGCTTTTATCTAATTGGAATTCTTCACTCTTGAAACAATTCGTCAATAAAATTTACCATGACTAATTAAGAGTGTTTTGGCGGTGTCTTTGTATATCCATGTGAGTGAATAAATTTTCGAAAGGTATGTTACACAACAAACACACAAACCTGTCTTTGAATTTAAGGTACGTAATACATGGTAAGGACCGCCTCATGAGTAGACGAGGGGCCCACCTAGTGAACACATCATTCAATTTCACTGCATTTTATTTAATTTGAGTTTTGATCTAATAACCAGTTCATGTATGTTCCCATGTTTACTATAAGCCATTATGGATCCATAGGAGTTGTTGTAAATATGTCTGCATATTCATCCTGATAAATATAATTCGTATGTCCTTTCTTCATGCCTTTATTTAGTGGTTAAACTTCGTGAATATGACATTGTATATACAGCATGTTTATCATTTGTAGATTCGGTTTGATTCAATTAAATATTGTTAACATACTCTGTCCAAATAGTTTTTAAATCAAGATTCAGCTTCCTGAGACGTCAAGTATATTTTTCTTTAATTAGGCCCTTGAAGATTGGTTGTTTCTTTGCTTTTCATCCCTCCGAGATTCGTTAGGACGACATTTAAACATTTCCCCCATTGCTCCAAATTTAGACGTCCTCAGCACTTTTTTGGCATTAAGCAGTAGGGGATCTTTTTTGAGCCAGCATCTTCTGCGACACTGGACATGTTTTTATGGTCCCCTATGAAGGACCGTTTTCAACGTTACTCATTGGGATTTGTACCTGCGATTTAGAATTAGCCACTTACTTCTTAACTCCAAAGCAAAATTCTCCAGAAACACTAAATCTCATGACCCTCAAAAAAGTACATTGATCGTCTATAAGCTCTGAAGGCTGATGGAAGGTTTGAAAAAATATACTCTTATGTCTGGTCTTCGCGTATTTGAGAATCTTGTCTATTTTATTCAATTTATATAAATGTAATAGCGTGAGATATTTCACAAGTTCAACTAAATAACAGTTGTGAATTAATTAATCATGAATTTTGCTTTTAAACGGCATATGTACGATACTTAGCATTTTGTTCACAAATCGCTTTCTTTTGTACTTTTCTTATTTATAAACTAGGTAATTTTGCATTAAATTTTAGAATGTATTTTGATAGCTGCTGTCTGAAAATAAAATTGTTTACCTACCTACCGACCCAACTTGAGAATTTAGGGTCGGGTCGGGTTTCAAAAACGTTTTGAAAAGACTATGTTCTTTGCCCTTTACTAAAGCATTTTACGGACATTGATTATCAGCTGCTTTGGCGCGAAGAGCGTGATTTTCTAACGAAACCGGCTTTCTTGCTTTGAAACTTGATTGGAAAATGTCATCGACGGCTCACGACCATACATACACGTTTGATGAGTACGGTGAGTATGTTTTACTTGATTGGAAAATGTCATCGACGGCTCACGACCATACATACACCTTTGATGAGTACGGTGAGTATGTTTTGCTTAATTAAAACTTTGAATTCAGAAGTATAGCCTGAAAATATTTTAATATTCACACTAGAGCTTGTTTACCGTGTGTTAGATAAAGGTATCATACAATTTGATAAACAAATAAATTGGAGATTTGTTTTAGCTAATATTTCATTACTATAAGAAGTTTATTTAAATTGCGGTTGAAGGATGAAATCTGATTTGTTTATTTTAATGTAACTTGATTTCACCTGTTAAAAATTGATAGGTTGCAAAAACAAAGGAAGATTTTCAAGAGGAAAGGAACCAGAGGACTCTACTCTACAGAGGACCATGTTTTTCATGATCATTCTTATATATCTATTGTTGATTCATGTAAGTGTTTATATTCCAAGGAATGATAAATTTATATAAAAGCATTTCAAATAAAATGTGTACATTTATTTAATAAAATACAGTAACTTCATTTTTCTTTCAAATGAAAAATTTATACAATGTCAATACTTTAGAAGGCCCAGACACAGATGTTCCTGAGTATGAGGAGGAGGAGGAGGACACAGATGACTATACATGCAGTTCATCAGAGAGTGACGAAGAAGAACCTGAGAGAAATGGTAAGCATTGAATAAATATATGAATCTGAAACCTGGATCTCTTTGTCTTTTTCTCTCTGCATTGGTAAACTGTTATGTAAACAAGTTTAAATAACATGCCTTCATATTAAATATATTTATATACACCATTTAGGTGGAAATGTCTTTCCCTTGCAAGGGCGGCACATCATAGACATTAATTTTTTAATCCAAGAGCTGGGTAAAGGGTGCCATTCTTGCAGAGAACCTTTACAGTTGTCCTCTTGCATAGGAGATACCCGATATAGACTAGGTATTATTAAAATACAAGAAAACACTAATAAGTCTATGATAACATTGTATAAATATATATTATAAGTTGTATCATATTGTTTTCAACACCACACATGCTTGTAAGTAATCAAAATAAGTAATATTTTAAACTGATAAAATATATATTGCTAATAATGAAGTTGTATAGTATTTGTATAAAACTAACATGTAGATATACTCTTGATACAGGTAGTTTACTTCACATGTGCACAGTGTCTAAATGTTACACTTGTCCCTGCTGGGAAAAGGCATGGCCAAAATGTATGGGATGTGAATTCCAAATTGGGTGCAGGTAAACATAATCTTTCAAAAAGAAAAACATTTTTTTTCATAATCATTGTTTATATCTACAAAAAGCAGAATC